CAGCCCAACGCTACAGGCGCGTTGACAAGTCATAAATAGATTCACTAACATCAGGTCTCTTCCTACCCGTTTCCCGTATAAGGCGGAATAACTTACAATGGTTACTAAGCGCAGTGGTCACTTCCATTTCTGACGTACGATGAGATCACCAGGATTCGCGGTCTCTAATCAGGCTTGCACGGAGTTTTGCGTGTCTCGTCGTGTTCGCTTCCAGCAAGAATGTGCCGGTGAGCATCGGTAAATTCCTGAGACCGCGAAGAGACCCAATGTCCATGTTGGTTAATGGATTTACAACATGATGATTTACCTGCTGCTAGTAAGGTCTGGAGAACATGCGACCAGTGATTGTCAACTGTATTCAGCCTGGATGCCAATGTACCTCGATATGCATTCAGATCACCTGAGTTCGCCAGTTCGCTGATGCCTATGCGCTCACAGTGTCGTAGAAGGTGTCTGTCAAAACACCCGCAGATCAGCACATACGAGCGCATGGTCAGTGTCTAAACAGTTGCCCTAAATCGAGCGACAGCTCTGGACACAGCTTTTCCTGCGGTAACTTATCGCAATGTGATCGATTTGCGTCCATGGGTGGTGAGCACCATGTTATATCGCGGCGGGTGCTGTGTCGGACGTTGGTGCTCGCAAAAAATAAGCGAGCATCTTCCCACAATAAAACTAACCGCTCACCGTTGTCATTACGGGAGCCTACAACTACGTTGACCACACCGGTGCACCTCGACAGTGGACAATTTCTTAATTTGAGCGTCCAGATCCAGAGCCAGCACAACAGTGGCAGTGCTTATTCTGTGGCGGAAAAAGTCGTTCAGTTAACGATAGAAATCGTCTTTTATCGAGGCATCGCTACAGTTTGTGGGGGCGTAGGAAGCAATAAGGAATAGACATCTATTAGTCCCGTGCGACTTCGAAGCATTGAATGTGCCAGCCAATCTGACCGCGCACACCCGGCTGCTGATTCGGATGCGGTCAACCAGAGCAGCTTCAGGCCGGGGACTCAGGGTAATACCAACACCGGCTTGGCCAGTAGTCGTAGCTGCATCATCCCCGGATAGGCGCAATGAGAAAGCACTGCTAGTGTCACCTGAAGCGGATCGCAGAGTGAGAACAGAGCTCGGGTCTTGTAGGCGGGCTTCCGATAGGCAGCAGATAGCGATCGGGAGGATCTCTAATGTTCGGGAAAGTGCTGCCTGTTGACGGATCTGTAACAATGTGCGTATGATGAGGAATATCAATCTGAGGAAGGATCGAGAGCTCCGAAAAGAAGCCGATGAACAGGGCTTGACCGTTTGCTTAGACGTGGGCTTGTCGACAGGGCAAGTGAAGCTCTGTGTTTGCATGCGAACTGAAAGTGAAAGATAGTTGTCTAGCAAAACATGGTAGGGGATGACCAAAAATTGTGGGGTTGAAAATGATTGTGATAAAAGTGAAGTTAGAACGGGACGATAAGGGTGAAAAAGCGTAAAATGGGGGAATAAGAAGACGGGAAGGCTTGAGCAGTAGCATTCAAACTCCTATCCACCTTGCTCGATACAGCAGATAGGGCACCGTTGATTATCCTCTGCGACGGCCAGAGCAACAGGAAATGGTTTGAGGAAAGATTCATTGTATTGCGTGGGCGGGATACTGTTAGGTTACCCAGGCCTAGACAGGAGGACGATTCGGATTCTCAATCAAAGCCTTTGGTTCAAAAACCTGACCGCAAGGCAGCGGGTTTAGCGTTAGGCTACAAGGAGTCCGTTTTAAGGAATAGGGAGTCACCCGCATTCCCACTCCCAACCTGGAGGACAAAGTGACCAAGTTCGTCTGGCCTCTAATCATTGACCAATCTGGTGTGAGTGGCTCTAAAGATGTAAAAGCACCACCCACCATAGCTCAATGGATCACTGAGACACGCAAAAATCGCACCATGGTAATGTCCAGTCTCATTAGATAGTACACAGACAAAAAATTGAACGCCTGGATCGGGTATACTTTTACGCCCCGTTTCGCCGTCATGCAGATAACTAAAAGCATTTTAAGAAACGCACGGCGAGTAAGGAACGGCACCACGACCGCGATATGAAGACACAATTTAAACTAAATTTGAATGAAGAACTGTGGGCTTAGTCGATACGCAGTGTGCGCGAGCGATAGAAGAAGGTTATGTTGACTGCAAAGGTCGGCGGAAGGTCACTTAAATGCACTATCGAAGGGAAAATAGACTGAATAAACCGAGTGCAATTGAGACCTCAGAGACAATATGGACTTAGAGTGAAGAGCCGTACAGCGTGTAGCCATGAGATCACAATGGCTGATGAAACAAAAACGAGAGGCGGCAAGAGGTATTAGCGGTCAGCAAGGTAGAGGCGGAGGGACCCGAACAAGGAAGGGAATTCGAGGGGACCAAGGTAAACGGATGGACTTAAAGGACGAGCCGGAGAGACACTGAGAGGCGAATCCAACTGCCTCGATCGCTGAACGCATCAGGTATGGTTGTCCATCTATGCGGTTCCACAGAGTGACTGCCGTTCAGTGTGCAACGGTGAGTTAGCTCGACGGTGACGCGTACGACGGAATGAATTCCTATAGCCTGGATCCGTCGACGATTACGAGGGGTAAAAGAGACAGCGCTAAAGTATAGAAGTTCGAACAGTACCTTGCAGCCGTAGTGAAGACAGACGCCAAGAAAACCTTTGCTTACTTATAGCGCTGTCTGAGATCTGCAGGTAACGTAGCAGCGTTAGAGGACTCTGGCGGACAGCCCATAGCTTAAAGCACTGAGCGTGCATCCGTCCTGGCGACGTAACTTGCTTCCGTATTTGCAAATGGTCGTGCGTCTGCGCAGTTTTCGACTTGTGCAGCCGCAATCGAACTCGACGGAATCGCGGTGTGGAAGATGTACGAAGCCTGACGGGCTCCACCCGCTGATTCGCAAGTTCGTATTGGCCATCCTCCCACCTTCAATAACTGATCTGTTCAACAGGTCGTTGCCCGGGGTGTAAAGCAGAACAAGGGGAAATGCTCAGAAATGAAGCCGATTCTGAACAGCGGTGACCCAAACAAGATGGACAATTACCGGGCAATTTGTCTGACCTCCGTTTTGTCTAAGGGGCTCAAAAAGATCGTGAAGAAGGGTCTGCTCAGCTGCTGAAATCAAAACACCTCATGATCACGACACAACACGGTCTCATGAAAAGCCGCTCGTGCACCACCAACTTGCGGAAAGAATGGTCGCAAGTGCCAAATCTGGGGAAGTCAGTCGATGTGATTTACATTGATTTCAGTAAGGCGCTGGACAAAATGAACCATGTGGTTCTCCTACGCCAGCCGGGGACGTGCAGTGTTGGTGGATCACTGCGCCAGTAGATCACCGACCTTGTTAGTGAACGAAATTGGAGGTTATAGGTGGATGATCATTTAATTGACTGGTACACCTCCACCAGTGGGGTACCCCAAGGTACAGTATTGGGTCCAATTTCGTTCATGCTCCACATCAACGAAGTACCTCAGTTTCTTCGGTCGCCTTGTATCTTGTTTGCAGGCGAGCAGAAGATTTGGAGTCATAAGCACTTCCGACGACAGCGGCCTACTTTAACAAGACCTCAATCAATTTTCCATGTTGTTTGCAGAAGTCCGCCTCCCGATCAACCCACCCAACTCGGTATTCATAAGCTTGGGGAAGGGTGTTGACGGGCGTATGTACTTTGGCGGGCGAACAGCCACATTCCACAAATTCCGTGAGGGATCTGGGTGTACACTCCTGTTGCGATTTGAAGTCCGTGAACAACCCAAGCAAGTTATTTGGAAACGGGTTATGTATGCTTTGGGTGCTCAAACGAAGCTTCTGCATTTAGTCTAAAGAGATCGCCACTCGCCCCTTCTCCTCCTCCATAGGAGTAATGCTCGGGCGTGTCTCACCCGCCTAGTGTCTAAGTACCCGTGGCAATGTGCAAAAACTGGAACAAGTTAAACATGTCACTACCAGGTTTATCCAGTGTACGGGATGTCGCACAAAGATCGGTGTAGGAGACTGAAACGGTACACCTGTAATATCGCTTGTTTTGAATGGACTTCATAATAACGTATTGCATATAACATCTGGGTAACTTCCCTATGCTGAGGCCTCTTCTACACATGTGCGCACCAAAAAGTACTCACGCGCAGCGGATAGCTTACCTCCTTTGTTTCGAGCGACGAGTGTTGGAACACTAGAACAGTCAAAGCAAAATCGGTGTTGGAATTCAAGTAATTTCTAGACGCTTACTGTACGGATTAGACTTCGAGAGCCCATCCCACCTGAATAAGAGGTCGCACGGCCGAATTGCGTTGACAGTGCGCGGTAATAAATGAGGCCATTCCGCGTGTGTGCCCGATAATATATCGATTGTTCAACAAGGATGTTTAATTTTTACCTCTAATTTTTGGTATCCAGTATGTTAAATTGAGTCAAAGGAGGAACCTCATTAGTCCAACAATGTCGCTAATGGAAACATACGAACAATGTAAATTGGGCGTTTTCGGGGTCAACTATGCCGAGTTTCGCTTATTTGTTAATGCCGAATAAATCACTTATCAAAAAGGACCGATTTTTGCGACAGAATGCCAACCGGCAAAATCAGAATAAGCAGACGGTGGCGCCCTGTAAGAATACGACTCATCTGTTATGTAAACGATGCGTAATAAACTAAAGCAGCCCATCACACGCTTCAGCTAGTGTTTCGTACCTTCAAACTGTCAGGTATCATGGTGGAACTAAGTTGCAGCAGCATCGTAAGACCCGTCAAGTTAGTGATCTGAGACTCGTAGTCAATACAGTCTAGTCGAAAAGAGAATGTTTGCGCCGGCAGATTGGCGTTATCAAGTAATGCGTCTCTGGTGAAAACAAGTAAACACTTCACTTACGCAGTGTAACACATATGCGTGCAACAGGGTGCGTGGATACATATGATAATAACAAAAAAGATGGTACAATCTTGAATTAAGGGAAAACAGAGTCAACCAACCAATGAATTCATCCAAATCAATTGCAGAGTTGTTGTTTTTATCCAGCTCTTCGATTGTTTCCTGAAAAGACAGTTTCAGATAAATGAAGGTCAAAAAACTGGCCGGAAACGTAGGCACTTATGAACAACTGACAGAGTGAACACAAGTTTGTATAGCGGTTAGATAGGTGAACCGGCTAAACGCATGAGAAATCTCATGGCATCAGTGTCGTCTCATAGGCAGATTAAACCCCGGAGACACAGTGAAAATGAGGTACGATAATGAATTCGTACAAGTGTCCGAGCAACAAATACTAAGAAAAGGACGTACAACTCCTAGGCGGAATGTGAAGCGGAGGGAGTGAGATGGTTCCTCTAGGTAACAGGGGAAGTTGCTAAGTAACAAACCACATACTTTGGCAATAGTAGAGTGCATTCTAGGGTCCGATTCCGGGTTGAAAAACGAGGCCGCCTCTTCGTGACTCAACAGACCATCTCCATTGGTGTCTGCGACATCCCAGCGGCGCCTGTCTCGCGCAAGGTAGGAGCTGCGAGTACCTTCATCGTCTACCGTAAATAAAAACAGATGGTGTTTAACGGTAGCTGGTCATGATTACGCTGAATTTCGAGATAAAGAAGTAAAACGCAAGCAAGGATAGTAAAGAAAGACGTAATGTGGCCACGTAAGGAATTTTTATGACAAAGGGAAAAAAGGAAAATGCCAGCGGGCAGTGAACAAATTTAGGAGTAACGGTTGAGGAATATCCAACCGAGTAAGTTTGGAGTTGTACTTAAGAAGCATGGCAACAAGAACATTGCTGGATGAGTGGGAAGTACAAAAACTCAGAAAAAAACCCGAAGTAGTAAAAGAGACCGAGAAAGATATACATTTTCAAGCAGAAATAACGAGACCAAAGTACAACCAGAAGTGCACTCGGATTACCAATAAGGGATGCGAAAGACCAGGCGTATCTATGAATGCGGTTTTTGACACCTACCCACATGAGCGATTTCTCCTCTCCTTGAGAAATGCAAACAAATGTAGTCACTGTGAGCTAAACCAGTGATCTAACGAATGTCAGCTTGATCCTGACTAGAATGAGCAGGGTGAAAGTGACATGCACGACTTGACTCAATCTCGGATAAAGCATATTCACAACTGAGTGTGCCTAGAAACTCGGCGATAGAACGTTTTGAGGCAATCCAGGCCAAATTCCGAGTGCAAACGAAATTCTAATCGGCGTTAAAAGAGGTACCCGAAAAGATAAATTGGTGACATGGACGACAGACTCAAACAAAAGCTATGAAGTTAACAGTCCAAAATCCAACGGGATTTTTTTACATTAGAAGAGTACACACAAGAAGGGAGCTAGTTACACAGTGCAACTTAAAGGGGAAAAATCCCAATATGGTCATCGAAACAACCAAGATTCCCCCTAGAGTTAGGCCGTGGATCAATGGGTAACCAAACACAAAATAACAAGTACAGGTCATAAAGGTGTACAGACAAAAAGTAAATAAAAATGGATCCATGCCTGAAAACAACAGCAGGTTCTGCCCACCGAATAAAGAAATAAGGTGTGAATCCGACGTCATCAAATACAGACTTTAAGAAGTGAGACGATGAATGGGAAAGTTGTGCTGAGAGATGCATAGCTGAGTAGAACAGACACCGGTTTTACCGTTTCGTAAAATGTAAGAGAAGCCTCAAAAGTGATGATATCCCACTTTCTTTTTTTACCTTCGTAGTCCTCATCGTCTCCAGTGTGGCGGACGAACGTGTCCCAAGATAACATGTCCGTAGATGATAGGTTATATCTTTCCCAGTTTCGTTTGGCGTCAGCAACATTCACATGTTGATGAACCTTTTTCAACCAGTCCCTCAACTCGTCAGGTGTAACATATCCGTCATGATCCTGATCGATCTTGTCAAAGATGTTTCTGAAAAGAGGAGTGCAAGAATCAACAGAGGACAGTCAGACAAGAATCAACTTTAAATGGTGAACCAACAGGAGATAAGTATGCGTGTTTACTCAATATGCAAGGTAAGGGATTCTACAAAATGGATGAGATGCGAGTATCACGGGAGAGGTGCGGCTACTACATTTGAAGCTACGACAACTTTGAGGGGTAGGGAGCTGGTACCACAAGAAGCATAAGTGAAAAGTGAGCATATGAGCTAAATAGGTTCACGAGAAAGTGATCTGGAGATTAGAAGCACTGCTTTTTATGTGAACAGATAAAAGAATGAATTGAGGGGGAAAGGTGGTGTCACACAAAACAAACGAAAGAAGTTGGTACCAGTTTCTAAGATTTCGATGTTGGTCACAATGGCGAATTAGAAAAGCTATGTCGAAGGACCAAATGATCCGTAAGATTTTGTTAAGAAGATTCCGGTGTTTAAGCAGGAAATCAATAAGCTGAGGTATCTGCGCGGTGTGATTCATGCTGAAGGCTGTTCAGTTCAGCGAAGCAGATGTAACGAAAAAAGAGAAAAGCGACGAAACTGGTCATAATTAGTTACGCAGCAGTGATGGCGAAACAAAACTAGAAAGTCAATTGACAAAAAACGTAAAACCTACAAAATGGTATAATGAAACGGTTGGCGGTCTAAAGCTAAACACAAAATGCGAGAGCACCACTGGCTTCTCGAGTGCGTGATTGCAGATTAGGCTTTTAAGCACTAAGGCGACTTGTTCTGAGGCGCCTATCCACGATCGCAGGAATCAGTCTGACGCACCTTACAAACGACAGTGAACGCAGAAGGGAGTTACACATAAATCCTCACACGAACTCAGTAACTAAAATACAGATATTCCATGATACGAACGAATGACACGCCTTCTAATGGTGAGCAGCGCGATCAACTGTACCAGATTAATCTTCAGGTCAATGAAGATCAGAATGAGACCAGTAAGCAATGCTACTCGATCGCCAGGACAAGATATCCTTTACAAGGTGGAATCTGATCTATTATCACTCGGCCGACTATCGAGGACAACTGGGCCGCGCAGTGTGACACGTGAGGAATTTGGAGCGAACGGAAATAGGGTCAGTGCATCTGACTTTCACATGATTCGCCTCGGTACTTTTGCTAGTGAATACGACGGTGGATGCAACTATAGCGTATAATGTCGAACAGAGTGGAGGCCGATTTAGAGCGAATGGTATCTGTCTTCTACTAAAATGGATGGAGGTCATCGCGCCCCGCGTGCCGATTTATGTGGGGTCCCACCAAGGCTAGCAGTTGTAAAACCGAGAGCGGATTAGTCGGTAGCGACAATGTGGGGCTCGCTGAATTTCCACACTGTATTGTCCAGTGATCAACTCGAAGGAACTTAAATCAGATTAGTTGCCCCATTCCACATCGATTGCTTTGTTCACTGAAGCCATTCACAACCGAACGCTACAGATGAATCGAGGCAACAATCGGCTTCCTAAAACCACGTTCTCATCGAGTGCTCCCATTCTACAATAACGCTCTGAACCGATTGTACATCTCCTGATCACGCACCGTTCAACGATGCGGCGAAGAGTACAAGATCGAGAACCTAGTGAAATTATTTTCTGCGCGCAAACAGAAGTAATGAAAGCATTTGAGAAGATTGATCATAGCTAGGACCAGCCAGACAACCACCATACGTCCAGGAAAGCGTTAAACGGCCGTTTCGTCCTATTGGGACTAGTCAGTAGCGTGCACCCACCGGATCCTGCCGGATTCAAACGCATAAGCTAACTCATACGAGTGAGTGATTTATGTCACTGATGGCGGCGGACCGCCATGACTGGCACCTAACTACGATATAGAGCGGCTCATCCTCCACTGCTATATATCTCATGAACGTGCGGAGGACAGGGCTGGCCCCAGGAGCCACGGCTACCTTTGCAAATCGTCACCGATCGAGGTGGCGTGTAAGCTGCTAAGCCAAGTACTGAATATTTGAGAGTAGTAGGGGATTGGTTACGTTTTGGAGTGGATTCGCCGCAGCTAGACTTAGCCAGACAGCCACCACACATCCAGGAAAACGCTAGACGGCTCAGTATCAAAAGGCACTGACTCGTAAGAGCAAGGTCATGGGTTCGAATCCGGCGGGTGTACGTTGCTGTAAGGGCGCCCATACAAGTGAATAAAGCTTATTTCGACCTGACTTATGTCCCAATACGACGAAAGGGTCGTCTAGCGCTTTTCTGGAGGTGTGGTGGCTGTCTGGATAAGTTTAGCTGCGATGGATCTTCTCAAAAACCCAACAAATCCCCAACTACTCATTAGTAATGAACGCTGTGGTAAACAAATCGGGCTTCTCTGGTTGGGGTGACAACGAACTGAATGTCATCTTAATGCAGTGTCGCAGTTTGTGTTTTCGGTTTGATTTAGTGGAATTAGGGCCAAGAGGTGAAAGATTCACCCCACAACACGCAAATGAACTTTAAGTAAGACACACAAAGAGACCAACGCCGGTACCAACATGTGCAGCAATGACAAATATATGTGGCTATATATAAGGGATTTAATTATGACGCCGTCTAATAACCTACATGATGCTACGTTACCATAGAATAGGTAATAAGATGGAAGCACATGTAGGACGAACAGGCAGGAGTTTAAGTGTTCAATGATTTAAAGCGAAAAAGAAAAAAGCATCGTGGCCTAAGGTATCCAACTTGCGTCAAACGCTTGCATTTCACAACTGGTTATTCGTGAGAGCGACTGACGTCCTCTTTAACGTATCTGATTTTACCTTGGACGCGTTTTCCTATGTTAGGTCTGTCTCTGTCTACACAATTTTTCCGCAGGCTCCATCCCAGCAAAAATCAGAAATCAACAACTTGAAGCAAAAGCGTATCGAACGAGTAGCTGCCGAAAACGGATACAGTTAGTCTGAAAATCAACAGACATTGGAAGCTTAACCGAGGAAAGTTCACGTTTCAGAACAGATAGGTCAGCTGTCCTGATGGTCAGTTAAGTCCCGCTACCCAATGAAAAGGTAGGTACGCAGGTCACGTAACGAAGGTCCATTTTTCCTGAAATAAATTGATGCTTGGGTTAAGCACTATTGATTCAGATTGTTTTCTCCATCAAAATAATGAGTTATCCCGGGAGATTTCACCTCCTACCTAAAATCGTGGTTCATTATTCCAAATCTTATTATCAAAGCATGCGTGGCATATATGACGAAGGGATATGTTAAAGTATAAATTGTTTATTGTCAACTCCTGGTCGGACAACAACGTATCTGGGAAAGCACCATACGGCTGGTTCGCCCTACTGAGACACTTTAGTAGTGCACATTCCCAGATGCTCCAGGAACCGAGCCCATGGTCTTACGCCGTATACTACTAGGCGATGAACAAGACAAATGACATCGAAACCCTAACTAACAAGTAACTAAACATCCTAATGGAAGACAACTGATTCCTCCAGAACAGGGATATCGAAAGTCCGGCCAGCGACCCGCTAATGAAATAATAAAGTCAAGCTTGGATTTTTTCCGCATAGACATTAGATAGATTACAAAAATTACGAACAATATGAGCATGAAATTCAATGCCTCTAGATGCTGGCAAAAAAGGATGTAGCGTTGTTTGTTTTTAACCAACCAGGAAAATGCAATCTAGTGCTTTTACTAAAGGGGACTTAAATGAAGTAAAAAATAAAAACGGTGGTTTTATAAACGTTATATATATATATATGACTAGCTAAAACTATCCCGTTCTGAGAACGGGATTTTGTTTCATAGGTTATCTCAGTCACCCAATTTTTAGTGTGCTATAATTTACTTTGAGATACTTCCTTATATACAACATGTTTACCTTTTTGAGTATTTAATTCTACAAAAAGCAAAAATTTTTCTACTCCACTCTCATAGAGGGCTTTTAACTATAAAAATAAAATATTCGTTAACTTTTATCTATATGCTTGTCTTTCCTGTTCTAGAATGGAGAATGTGACTACAAGTGGAGTGTCAATGACGAAGGGCCCCGCTTGCAAGGAAGGTGGAAACTGGAGTGTTTTTTCACTGAACGACTGAACAGGTGCGCGTGCTAGATTTGTTTAAAGAGTGTGGCTGTTTTCAAGGAATTCACCAGCAAGAGGCACTACCAAACGAAGCATACTAATTGATAAGTTGACTAAAAATGGACGAATTGAAAAATTGAAGCAACTAGAAGCTGGAATAACTTCACTGCAAACCTTGTTTGCAAGAAACGGTTAGTCGAATGAAAATGCGACAAAGGCAATTTATGAGGTGGCAAAACTAAGAGCGAAACATTGCAAAGCCCTTATCGAAGCTGAATTTGTCAAAGAATGTATGAGGAAAATTGTGGAAATTATCTGTGCTGTGAAACATCAAGTTCGCCAATGTTTGCTCGACACGCAACACTGTCGTTCACATAATTGAAGACATCTCTGATATTAAGCGACAATTAGAAGCAAAAGAAGCACAAGTTGACTTTTCGATAGCCTTTGATGGAAGCACTGATGCATCTGACACAGCTCAGCTTCTCATTTTTGTAAGGAGTTAACGATGACATGTATGTGAGATTATTTGACCTGGGGGGTCTTAAGGATAAAAAAAACAGAAAGATTTATTTGCTTCTGTTTCTTCTGCAACCAAATGGCATTAAAATATCTTGGAAAAAGTTCTCTGGAATTATTACTGGCTGTGCTCAACCATGACTGGCGAGCACAGTGGATTAATAACACTTGTTTGTAGCAAAGTCAGTGAAGAGGGGGGCAAAGCAATTAAATTCCAAGAAGTTATTTGTGCCAACCGTCTTAGGAGTGATTATGCTATGAAGCCGGTGGTAAAACCTATCAACTATCTTCGCTCTAAAGCCCTGTTTTATCGTCAGTCGAGGGAATGCACTTCATCGCTTTTAATCTCTGGGAAAAGAAATCGGACATTTCATAAAAAACGAGGGGGAATCGATGCCAGCAGTATCGGATCCTGCTTAGCTGGTTGATTTGGATTTTAGGTGATATTACACGGCATCCTAACATGTTGAACACGAGCCTGCAGGGTCAAAATGCAGTGGTAAGCCAATTGTATTCATACTTCAAAGCCTTTAGGAATAAACTGCGGCTTTTCAATGACAACCATTACAAACGCAGCTTAATACTACACATTTTCCATCACTACAGAAAACCATGACAAGTCTACCAGTAAGCAACATCAATACACAAATGCAGAAGTATGTCGCAGATATTGTATCCTTGGCTGATGAGTTTCAAAGGCGCTTTCAGGACGTTGCAGCTGTTGAAAAGGAGATCAGGGTTTTTTTCCTCCTATTTCTCTGTGGACCAGCACAATGCTCCAGGCCACCTGCAAACTGGAGTTCATTGAGTTGCAAATTGCTGTTGAATGCTGCAGTCGGCACAAACAGGTCTATCTCATGAAGAGAGAGTCCAACAAACTCGAAAATTTGCCAGGAAAATGCTCAGCTTCTTTGGCTCAATATACTTATGTGGGCAGACATTCTGAGTTTTGAATTCTAACAAGAACAGTGTCAGGATGCGACTAAGTGATCCTCATCTATGTGATATCTTGAGTATCAAAACCAAAGCCTTTGAGCCTGACCTGACCAGCTTACTACAGTCAAGAGCTCAAGTTCACCATTAACATTAAAAACTTATAACCTATCATTTTTAGTTATAGACTGAATGTCAGGCTGAATATGGCCCGACATATCTTTATCTCACAAAATGTGGCCCTCTTTGAGAAAAGTTTGGACACCACTACCCTAGAGGGACACAAGAAACCAGTCAAAATAAGCTCAGATATAGGAACTAGTTTGTTGAAAAAAGTGCAGATAAAGATGTGCTCATTAGATAGATGAAAGATTCAGATCTAAACTGTTAGGTGCATTTCCACTATTCAGGTCGAAGTAACAAAACGTACCCCAGATGTTCCAGTCCTTGTTCGGGAGTCATATCATCAAATCGCTTAGCGTCTTCTCCGAACAGAGCATCTTGGTCATATTTAGGATTGTGCACACCATGAATCTCATGCGGAGCTTTGCTCAAGTCCTGAGAAAGAATAAAACAACCATTTGTGTTTTCATTGTAATGAAAGAGAATGAGGCCTAGAACCGCTATTACGATCCTGAAACAAAGGATTCTCCATTATCAGAGAAATTCAAAGTTTAATCCAATGCAAGCAAGATCATCTGCACAACCCACTAGGACGCTAGTGGCATGTTTGTAACTGACTATATGCCACAAAAGATGACCGTTACCGGTGCCAGTCATGCCGACTTGATTCAGCGACTGAAAATTTGTATCAGATAAAAGGTAGAGAAATGTTTAGAGCTGGTGTCTAGATGCTGCGTGATAATGCATCAGCTAACACAGCCAGAATATAAAAAGCTGCTATGCGTGTAGGTAACTTGCAAAAAACTCACTCGTCCAACCTATTATCCTGACCTGCCCCATATGACTTCTAGCTAATCCTAAAACTGAAGCGTTCTTTAAAAAGCAAGCACTTTGATTCAAAAGTAGATCGGTTGACGAGGTAATAAAAACAAGTGGGGAAGTGTACTATTCTGATATGATCCCAGTTATCGGAATGACCTAGGATTAGTTCAGAGTAAGCCGTGGTTCCAGCTAAGGTTGCGCGTCGCAAGCTAGATACACAGCAAGCACTCTTAAACCCAACAACGAACTTCTAATCCTTGTACCAAGCTATACTCTCCAGATATAATTACATAGAGAGCAAGGAGTTACCTGCAACCACTACATATCGGGTAATATTTACCGTTCTCATATGCTGAAGCGTTCAACAATATGCATCGTGTGATGCAGCTAGAGTTACGTAGAATTAGGGTCTTAACCAAATAGGCTACGTTGTCATTGCATCCAGTTCGCCAATCTGTCATTTGACAAGACAGGTGCTCCAGTGAAACAAGGTAGGACACATTCGTTCAAGAGAAGTTGGATCAAAATGCTGGATGAATGTGATAGCAGAACCATATTGATGAACAAAACTCATCGTATGGGGAAGCCTCCAATAGAGCCCCCACACAGTAGCAGTTTTGAAATCTTAGAATAAAAAGAAATTCACCCACGAGTTATCGTGTCAGAAACGGCACAATGTATGAGTGTGATTAACTGAACAAAGTGTCCTTTAGGCCAAGGGAGAGCGGTGTACTTGGCTGCTAATACGCGTCACGCAGCGCAAGCACTGGATAAAGCTTAAATGTAGACAAAAGACCTTTAGAGGTAGCCCCAAATTGCGGTTCCGAAAGACAAATAGAGGTATGATGGAGGTACGATAAGAGAACCCTTGCGTGTCAGCTATAAAAACGACACAGTCGTAGGTTGCTAGTTAGGGAGAAGGAAAGAATGCAGCACACATCGCGGTTGAGCGATGGAGAAGAGCCAAAGCGCCAAGCAAAATGGGGGGCTCTATTTGAACAAACGAATCAAGCATTAAGTTCAACATTTCGCATGGATCACCTAATGAGATAGGGATGTTAGTTGGAAGTTTACACGACGGACTCAGGTAAACCGGGAAAATCTCCCGACTGCTACACATTCTCTAGAACCGACGGAAGATAGCCTGGCTTTCGCTGTTTAAAGTACTGCGAGCACCAGAGGGGAACGAGAACATGATACATAGTAGTTTATTTCCTCGACAATTATTCAAAACTATGAAAACGGTTGCCAAGGAACGATGCACATGAAACGTTTTCGCAATTCTCAAAGTATGGTACGGTCACAGATCGGGCAAAGTTGAGGCTAATGGTTGATTATCTTACACCTTTGCTGTTATCAGCGGAGTACACTAGAGGCTGCCGTACCTTCCCTATTCCGGTACAAAGTTGCTACTGAAGATGCTCCTCATGGAGTACCAGGAGCTCAGAACTGGGCGACAGTCGCGGGTTTGGAGTATGCTGGGGATATCTGCCCGGAGAAAGAAGTAAAATCTCTCAGAAGAGCCTATTATTTCCACGAGAAAAGCATTCGAGCCAATAATACACAGCAGAAGCATCAAGTGGATCATGTGACGTATGCATCCACCTCCGCACTGGTCAGATTTGTTTTACGCTGCCACTTTTGGTAGCTAACCTAGTTGCAATAAATCTGAACACCGGCAGCTCAGGCTGGAAGTTGAAAGCTTGGTTGGTTTTCCGAGCTAAACAACTGGATTGCAGACGTTTTGCCACCAATTGAGGTTATATATTTAGTGCGTAATAGCAAGTAGCTTGTTAGCAGGTATTGAGCTTCGAGCAAATCCAGAGACGGATCTGGATTGACTCGAAGCTCAGTACCTGCCGAGGCACTTGCTAGTACGCACTGAAAATGCCACCTCGATTGGTAATGAAACATCTGCAACCAGGACTTCAGTTAGCTCAGCTGTACTAAAATGAACATTCTAGGGTTGGTCTATAAATATGTGTTGGTTTTCACACCCCGTGCAGTTCCGGTAGCTGTTCCGTCAGTATGCATCGCACCAAATCACTGACTTGAATTTAACTCGGTTGGTGGCATGCGAGGGACGACATCGTTTCAACCGGAGGCGCACAAAAAGGGAAAGTCAAACAAAAGCACTTTGTTGAGGATGATCCATAGCCCGTCCAAGGCATTTCGATCCGTTTAGTGTTAGAGGCCTTTATTTTGCCTCATTCACATGAGGATGTTTGCTCCGGAATTGATAAATGCCTCCGTCTGCAATCGCCATTGCAGGTGGTATTGTGGATGAAGTCGATAGCTTTACTTAGTCCGGGAGTTACAACACGGCCGGCGGTGGTGCTGGAGGTGAAGTTTCAAAGCGAAGTGCTAAACCCCCCTATGCATTCAGTACACTACGACACTAGTAGCGCTATCATGATGTTAGTATCAAGCTCGCAGTACAGCGTGTAACGTTTTGGCCCGTGCCGTCTAGTTGCAGAGATGCGAGACTTGGTCTGTTCGCTGATCATAAATATTATTAGCTAGAGGTGGAAAACATCTAAGCTATTGTGACGCAATACATAAGAAGAACAAAAACATGTGAAAGAGGCACACCAGCTGAGCCACCAACACGGGATGGACATCCCTGCGGAGAGCTACCAGCCGGCTAGTGTGCTCAGGAGATTTGAAACGATTGATTTTCGGTAATGGATACTTGCAAAAGATAGTGCTTATGTGATGGCAGCACCGTGCAAGCCAAGCTAACAGTCTGTCTCCAGATTATTATTCTCCAACACCGTTTGTGTTGGCTCGGAAACGGAGTGCGCACGCTGACGAATTCACATTCGTCGCGCATTGTCTCAGCTTTCTGGATGTGATATGAAAGAAGCATCGCGGCGGACAAACGGTGACGTGGAACAGAAGCAGGAAGAACGTCATTTCATGTCTAGTATCAGTTAGGTCTGTTCGTCACCCAGGTTGGGGACAAGATGGCGAAGACCCCCAGCCATGATTCGAGGTAGAAACCAGTGGCTTTAATGGTGTCCTGCTTATTCTAATAGAATGTTTAAGATAAAAAACAGCGAAGCAAATTTAAAACGGCGTGGGTGAAACTATTTAAAAAAATCGCTACCCTTTGTACTACGCCATTAGTTGTTTAAAAATGTTCCATTCTAGATCCACCATAGCTTTAGTGAAACATTGATCGTAATCAGATCAGTAAATAAATAACTGCAACTCTTGTACAGACCGGAGTGGTCGCTGACGAATGCCAGTCTGCAGACACTTTTCCTTGAGCCAAGTAACATCTAACAGAGCAGTTATAGTATACCCAGTGAATTGTCATAAGGAAGGACAGAAAACCGCATTAAAATCAGTGATGTGGTCTGAATTCCAAAAAGCACGCATTCGGTAAACGAAATAAGATCATCCACAGTATGTAATGAATAGTGTGTAAAATGTAGCCAAAGCAACGCAAAGTAGTTAGTCATATGTGATGATCTATAAAAACAACTTGACAGCTTCTGACTAGTGCTATACTATGCATCCAATAGCTGTGGACATGTGGGTGTCACTGGTACAAAGGATGCTTTGTAGGCAGCGGTAACTAAAGGCGTTTGAGATCGGCAGAGTGAAGCGGACAAGTTTCATTACCGTAATCTTGCGTGTTGTGGCTTTCCATGTGTCGCGAACGTGCCGACCATAAAGCCCAAACACTCTTAAAACAGAATCCGAAAGACGTCAACTAGGAAAACCCACTTGCGAGAAGGCAAGCGGAGTCCATGGGGTACGAATTCACGATTTCTTACACATTGAGGTTGAAACTGAAAATACAGCAAGCTGTTATTGGTTGAACCAAGGTCACGACCATGAGACAAACGAATCACATTCGAGCCGGGGTGCTAGACTTTTAGCCGATCGATTTCCTTAGGGTCTTGGTCCCCTAACATCTCCCCTTGTAAATGTACCGCATAGGTTTGAAGCTTGGTGTTCACCTGCATCGGTCCGTTCATCTAGGTGCTAATTCCGGCTTAGACGTAGGATGTAGAGTCCCCTGTTCGGGTTTGGGGGCATCTAAGCTGATAAGGAATGTGTCGAGGAGCAAGCCTAACGACAGCATGCTGCGCTTTAGTAATGCATCCGGAAAGGAAGGGGATTGTAACTGAGTTTCGTGCCGGACGCAAACCACGAAATTAACAGCAACGCCATACGTGGCACTTTCAGCTCAAAGAATGATATATCCTGGAGTCCAGGTAACCTGGTTTTTGCGGTAGTTATTCGCCAACACAGGTTGCCCTTTGAAGATACCTGGGTTCTGAGCCCTGTCTCCTGTTGAATTGCTGCTTTAACTTGCAGTTTTTGTTCAGCATGTTCCTGCCAGAAGGGTTAAGAAAACCAAGGCTGGATCGCAGCTTCGTTGCATTAGCACTTCAGCTGGAGATTTACCTTGAGGCACCGGCGGATTTGGTATATGTAGGCAAAATGAAAAGTCTCAAGGATCTCGGCCGTCGGTCCCTCCCCCTTCGCTTTCAGTAGTGGTCCCTTGAAGGCGTCCACGAATCGCTCTGCTAGGCCGTTCGACTGCGGATGATATGGAGGTGACCTATTGTGGGCCATGCCGCTTTTACTGCAGGTCC